TTTCCTGTGTCCTCATCCTCAACTACAACTGCATCCATAAATCTGCCCATAGCTACAGTGACAGCAAGATTATATTTTGTTTGTGTTGGTCTGCAGAGTTCAGTCATGCGACCATGAACACCTGGAAAGAGGCGTTTCAGAGTTTCAGCTGCTTGAGTAAACCTGACATCCCTTTCATTTTCATGTCTGTCCGCCTTCAGCTCACGTAGTTGCTGCTCTAACTCATCAATTTTTGTTTTCAACATTTCATGTTTCCGTCTGCATAAGCGAATGCAAATTAAGTGAAACATGATAAAATGGCATGCAAATAAATCTTGAAAAAAGAGGCACATATAGAAAACTGGAAATGCTTTCAAAGTGGCCCACTGACAAACTAATTGAGTAATTCAACATTATGAATGATATCTACAGTGAAGCTCACTAACTTGGATCCATCAAGTTTATCTTTCATCTCACGCTGTTCCTTTCTCACTCTTGCAAGTTCTTCCCTCTGCTTGTCAACTGTACCTAGAATTTTCACCAATCTTGCTTGCATCTGTTTCTCCTGAGCCTCAAGCTCTTGCTTTCGATTTTTCAACTGTTGAAGATTTTCTTCCAAATTCTTCTGAGCTTCAATATCAGCATGCTGTTGCCTATCTAGCACCTCCTTCTCATCCCTCAGCTTTGCAGTTTTCATCCCAGCCTCCTCTTTGCTGGAGAATAAAAATTAGATACAATTCCAGAAAGTTTAGCTCATTTTAAAATCATTAACTCCAACAAGACGACTGTTTTCGGATGATTTAAATTAAATTCAAAAAATCTGAATTCAGATAGGACTCTGATATAAATGTAAACAACATTCTACATAACATGAAGTATCGCTTAATAAAAGTACAGGTCTTCAGTACAGGAAATATGTGCAAAAGGATATTTCAACTATAATATAAAGTGACTCACATATGATGATATGTCTCCAACTGGCTATCAGCTAATTGCAGTTTTTCACCAGCATCCTGTCCCTTTTCACGCAAGTCATCCAGTTGCTTGATGAGATCTTGCAAGTCGTTCTGAAGTTTCGCCATTTCTTCCACATGCCTGAGCTTCTCTTCTTTCTTTTTGTTAAGCTCTTTACTGGTACTCTTGATTTTCATGGTTAAGCGTGAGACTTCTTCCTTTAGCTTAAGAATTTCAGGTTGCTGTAATAGAAAATCCATGTCAAGGAAAACAATTCAGGAAACCCGTATTTCAGTGGCATAAGAAGAAACCCTAGGCAACAATTCAGGAAAACAACAAAATACTACATACAATGGTTCAAACCTACAAAAGATACTAGCAAACTCCTGAGCAAGCTCAGTAAGATGCAGAAAAGGCAAATCAAAAATTGTCAAAAGTATATCATGAATTAAAGATGTGGTGCACCCATCTACTGGAAACCAGAGGCAAGTAAAACCCAGCAAATCTAGGTACAGGAAATCAAACGACAACCATGCAACGAATTTCATTCTCAAGCCACTAGGACATCAGCATCAGGAAAATCAATAGCTAAAAACAATCACATATGACAGCAAATTTAACCCACGAAGTAAAATTTACATTCTTATCAAGTCTCGTCTTTCTCTCAGCAATTCTCCTTTCACATTGTGCAGTCTCCTTCAAATATACACTCTGTTCTTTCTTCTTTTTGCTTAATTCACTTTCATAATTGCCTAGTTCATCAACAATTTCTTTGCGACTTCGCTGTTCAGCTTCAAGATCCTCATTAGCCTCTTCAATATCCCTCTCAATGGTCAATAATTGCCACAGAAAATGATCTTGCTTCAAAGATTTCTGCAAAAGGAAAAGAAAACTTGTGCTCAACAAAAATGCCAAGAGTTCAATAGAACAGTTTCTTCTTTAGGCCAACGGGGAAGATAGTCAGAGAGATTCTGGTTAAAACCATAACTGTATCAAGCAATCACATGCAAAATTTGTAAAAGCATGAATGCAGAGAACTTTTTGAGAAATCGAACTCTACTTGTAATATAGAAACTAAGCATGATGCTAACCTTACACTGAACAAAAAAGCATATATCAAAAGCAAAGAATTACATTGGTCAAAGAAGAATTACATTTGTCATGTACGGAATCACTAGAGAAAGATTTTCCGCTTAATGAGTAGACCAAAATCAACTGCAGAACCACTTGATAAAAGAAAAACAAAAAGAAAAAAGAAGCAAGACAATATAAACCAAAATAGACCTATGGGTGATGAAATCAGGTAGATTTACATTTTAGTGCCACACGTATAAGTTTACTAGATGCTGGGGAAGCAAATGCATAACAGATTGCAAAACTAAAGCAAAATAAGTAACCTTGAACATATACACACACACACACATATATATATACCAGTCAACAAAACTCAAAATTAGAGCAAAATGACAAACCTTGCACACTTAAATACTTATACAACAGAACATAAACAAAGAAAACAAAAAGTCAGAATGCTAAAGCTTGAGAATATATAAGATCGTGAGCACTTATCCATAAGGATGGACAAATGCCTAAAAATGACAATAAACACTTTGATAAGAACTTGAACCATACCAATTTCTCTTGCAAATGAAGATGTTTCTCAGCCTCTTCCTTTTGTTCTTTCTTCTGCTTTACCTCCAGCTTTATCGTCTTCTTCTTCTGATAAGCAAGTGCTGAGTTTTCTTCAGCTTTGGCTTTCTCTTCTTCCAACTCCTCATACTTCCTCTTAAATTCTTCAGAGCCAGAGATTTGCTCAAGCAGCGCAGTAAGTTCTTTAGGATTTTTTGATGCTATTGACTCCACATCTCCCTGTATTAATTGCTCAACTTAGAAGGCTGAAAATGGTACAATGCAACCAAAAACAAATCTCAAGAACATCCTCCATTTACTTTAGAGACCTGACCATTTTAGACAATAACCCAGCCTCATTCACTATCTACAGCTACAAATTTAAATCTGGAGAACACTTTATATCTTGTTTCTCAATTGGATGATTTTAAACTGAAACTTGGGGCCAACCATAATCTTGTGCTATCAAAACTTTGAAAGGTCAGAAACCCACACCATTGCACTGCCCCTCCTAAAAACGGGACACAAGGTAGAAACTATTAGTATGTCTGAAACAGAATCCCAGTTAAAACGTAAAAGAGTTAGCTCACCCGATTGAGTCACTCTAATTTCCAAGTTTATTTCTAGAGCATGCATCAATCTTCTTTTCAATTGAAACTAAAACAGCAAGCGCACTGAAATATCTACAATTCCTATATGGTTTCAAAATAGTCTCAATCACTGAAATATCACTTAAATTTCCCGTTTATCCCATAATTCATACCATTAACAGAAGCATAGTACAGCACTATAAAGAAAGGGCAGTGGAGTCAACCTGGAAAACGAGAAAATTCCGTGCTTTAACAAGAATACCAAAGTCCCTTAGCTTTTTATCATAATCATTCCAGTTGACAATTTCACCATTAACCCGGTATTCACTACCACCAGCACTAGTAATTGTACGCGTAAACTGAAATTCAGAACCGGTATCCAACCGATAAACCAACCGCACAAAAGCTTTACGACCTCTCTGATCTTTTTCACCGTCATCAACAGCGTATATGAGGTCCTTCAACTGCGTGCCGCGGAGCTGACCAGTACGGACGCCCAGGACGAAGCTAATAGCATCCATGAGGTTGGACTTGCCGGCACCGTTGGGGCCAATTATGGCTGTGAAGTCGTAGAACGGTCCAATAATTTGGAAGCCTTTGTAGGACTTAAAGTTTTCGAGCTCCAGCCGGAGGATCTTGCCCGGAGGGATTTTCTCCGGTGGCATGGCGGGATGGGTTTGGAAATCAAAAATAGTCTGGAAGATGGGAGAATTTTTTATAAGTGAAGGTGTTACTTTTTTTCCCCGGATTTACGCGAACAGAATTGAAATCTGTAATGTGGAATGGCAATTTCAATTTCTAGGGTTTGGACTGTGTGAGCAGTGAGGAGAAGAGGAAGGAATTTTGGCGGGATATGAATCTTCGGGGAGCATTTTGGGGGTAAATATTTCGTCTATGAAGAAAATTGCTATGCTTGTACTTCGTAAAAGAGTGTCACGCACGATTGAAAAGCGTAGGGAAAGGACGATTTTTCCTGACACATTATACCTGTATTTTTTTTTCTTTTTCTTGTTTTCCCTCTTTCTTTCTGTGTACAATTGTACAGCACACACTACACTAAATGAGGGAACGATCGATTGTTTGGATAGAAATTTATTTAGATGATTTATTTAAAATAATTATTATAATATTTTTTAAACGTGATATAATATATGAAATAAAAAGATAATTAAAATTTATAAAATAAATTATTTTATTTTAAAACATTTCAATCCAAACATATCCCATTGAAGGTGAATGTCTAGAGAATAATTTTAAAAAAAAATTTTGTAAACATGATTTCCAAAAGATCTAATTACGATACTTATCACAAGCATGTTATCTAAGAGTTTGTCTTCGATTGAAGATTATTTTTATCCATTGTAACACTTGTAATTTATGATTTTATGTAGAATAAAAGAATAAAAGTGATAAAAAAAAAAAAACGGACCCATTTTAATCATTGTTTGGACCCATTTTAATCATGATTTTATGTAATTATTTTTTTCTAAATAATTTCTTTCAAACGGACCCATTTATTAAAGTATTAATCTCAGGTTTAATTTTTTCCAAGTATTAATCATTGTTTGGACAAACCTCCGAGGGAAGTAAATACATTTATTCAATGGCCAAATTGTATTTTCAAATTGCTAGTATTTACTACTCGTAAATACTTAGTTTTTTTTTGGTTTGGCCTTGATGGTTTTATCATTTATGGCTTGAGAGCGCGCTTTTGATCAAGCTCCAGCGTAGCCGGAGGCTAAACTACCGGTTCCGTGCCGGGCGATGCGAATGAAGGCGCCTTGAAGAAACAAGCAGACCATAAACGACGAAGTCCAATAGGATCCATGACGAGAAAAAAACAAACAATTACAAGCAAAAGAAAGCCAATCCCATATAGCAGCATCTTTGCTGTAGCATCAAATTCAAATCACGACTGCCTTTAACACGCTCCAACGAGTGAAATGAAGAACAGAGAAAGGAAGGAGGTCAAATAAAATTATCACATTAAGGCCAAAGTTTCACTAATCATAGCTTGATCAACCGCTCACCTGAACATACAGCCAAATGATTATTATAACATACTTTTGGGCTACTCTACTGAACGAAAAACAACAGCATCCACAAACAATACTTCAATGTGCGTCCAGTCTCTCTTTTGCTCCACCTTCGACACCACCGCTCTCGAGAAGAACGCTCCTCAGATTGTCACTCCCGGACTCAGACTTTTGAAACTTCCGTTCTTTCAGTTTCACTTTGATTTTGAACCTGCACCAAGGAACTGCCTCCTTTAACACCAGACGCATCTGGCTCACGTCCTCCAGCACCACCATGTTTTGGCTCAGTTCCACCAGGCACGAGGGGATCTTCCATTTGCTGATATCTAGAAATTATTTGTTGAAGCTCGTCATGGATACTTAGAGCCTCAAATAGTAAACCCTCATCATCGAGGGTGCTTTCTACGATTCCCTGAATGACGGGCAGAGATTGCTTGCAATTTTCCAACATGCTGTCTGTCAGTTCATTCTGCAAACCACATCATATCTTCATCAATTTTTATTATATTCCTACTGTGAAAATAAAATTTTGTCAATTTTATGACAGCAACATGTTCTAAAACAATGCTAACATGTATGTGCTTGCTTTCATGCAAAAGAAGGTTTTCACAAGGATCAATTTATAACACAAGGCGCATGTCAGATGAAAATGCCAGATGCAAGTATGAAAGTGGCACGACCTTAGCTGGTTTTTGATCGTCCTCAGAGTTCAATATGCTGGAGAAAAGGTCGAGGGTATTACGAGTCACCGCCAGAGACTCTCTCTTTTCTTCAACTGATTTGCCAGCATAACCATTATATGTAGCATTCTCTGAATGGTGCAAGCCCGCGTCCGGCATAGGGTAACTTTCAGGGGGTGACAGCGGGTCTTGATCCATATATGTCTCCAGTGGGTACTGCATGCGAGGCATGTTACCATCAGGCAATCCAGAAGGGAGAGTTCTTGTCTTCAAGCTCTGTAAATATTGGAGAATAGGATTAAGGATCCATTTATCCAAAAAGAATGCAGCTAATGAACTCCTTTAACAGTTAATACCCTTTTAATAGCAAAAGGAAGGAAAAATCAAGTCACACTGCCACCAATCACGCTAAATGACATGTCCAGTCTCATCATATACTGTATCTCTAAAAAAAGGTAATGATTGAAGTATTAAAACGCAAGTGCCTGTTCTAGTTTGGAATTTTTGTGTATGTACATTTCTGTGAATACTCTTTTATGCTTGATCAATGGAAAGTTAAAGTTTGCCCCCCCAAAAAAAAAAGTTAGCATTTTTTGCTGCATAATTTCTCAAGTACATAGACAATTGTGGTTACTGAACAAGCAATTTGAAAAATTCAAAAAAATATCCCTTCCAGACTTTGATAAGACAAACCCATTCTAAAATAATTCTAGGATCCTTCCAAGAAAAAATAAAAAAAAAACTTGTAAAGTTTTAAGAGCTAAAACAAATGAAAAAGCAAAGGATAATAGATCAAGAATGCTTTCATCTTAGACATCCAAATGCTAATAAATGTAAACAAATGAGAACAAGTCCCAGAAACAAATCCAGCTTATGTCCCTATCGAAGATCCATGGCAGAACTCATCCACTAAAAGCCAAGTAGAACATAAAAGTTCCAAAGGGTTCACTTTCTTTGGTCACAAAGTTCAAATGCAATTCCTATTTATCAAATCAGCTTTACCGAGACTACCTCCAGGAAAAGCCAGATATCAACTACATCTCAAGCTTTCCTTGCTAACAAGAATAAAACAGAATTCAACTTCATATACTTGCAAATGTGTATTTAAATACCATAGGGTATCTAAGCTAAAAGGTATGGAGGTTCTGAAAAGGAATTAAGGGCCTCGTTTACTTCTAAATCAAGTATAATCAGAATATGCTAGTCATTCTGACTCCCATTTTCTTTCCTTTTCACTGTCTCTCAACAAAATCAAACAGTCAAGGCCTATATCTAACAAGGTCCACCACATTCAATTTCTTTCAGGCAAAAACACCAGAGACAGGCAACTGCAACCATCAGTGCTTCTCAAGCAGCATAGGCACAAAATGCCACACATCTACTTGTGCCAAAATTCATTCCGAGAAACATCTTGAATAGATAAGTCCTAATATCACCCTTTAAGCAAATAAAGAAAGGGAATAAAAATTAGATATACAAAAATCTCCCAAAGAATCAGCAGCCAATGTATAAAAAGCCAAATCTCTACCAAATTAATTAATTAATTAATAACAAATGAAAGGGTTAACTGAAGTGCAGAACTCTATGAGGAGAATAAATAGAGAAAACCAAGACATTGGTCCTTGCATTGCCTTACTCCATGCTACCTCTTTTTTTTTTGGGGGGGGGGGGGGGGGGTTGGTGGTAAGGAGGGGGCGTTAGGTTCCATGCTACCTCCTTTATTATTATTTTTTCAAAATCACGGGTAGATGCATGGTCTAATAGTGCCTTGTGTTCTTGCAAATAGATCACAATGATACTCTTGCTTTTGAAGCCAAAGACGATTATTGAAAGCATAAAATGCTTTAGATGCTGTAAAGTGTTTAAATATGAAAATTGAATGAAAAATTGTTAAACCTCAAAACTGAATAAGACTTTATACTTCAAAACAATTAAAGGATCATCCAATTTGTTGATGATAAATTTCAATCCATTCACCCGTGTCATACAAAAATGGAACTTCTCATGCTAAATCGATGAAAACCAGCAATGCTGTGACATCAAAAGGATTCTATTGCAATACCAAGCAATCATAATGTGTGACATCAAAAGGATTCTATTGCAATACCAAGCAATCATAATGCATGAGCTCCTAGAGCTCTAGTGGTCACAAGCAATTATGTTAGATTTTACTGGGTGCCAATGCCAATCTTTCCCATCAACAAACTTCCCAATTCACCTCCCATAAGAGACATTTCATTGAGAAACGTGAATAACCCTAATCCAACAGCCCCATAACCAAAAGTAAAAAAGTGGAGTTTGTTTTAAAGCCTCCAGCTGGGATAACTAACCATTACGACTCAATTGTCTAATGACAATATTTATCGTCATATTAGGCTTATTAGCTCGCTGAGCACATTTTATCACCGATGTTCTACAAAATAAGCAAAGCAAAGATCAATAAAAACCAAAATAATCAATTTCTTGGAGTCATCTCTGGGTTAAAGCAGTAATCTTTTACAGCATCAGGTAGGAACTTTCACATCCCCGAGGGTAGAAAACCCCCAAAAGAAGATGCAAAAAAACATAGTAGTAACATGCAAAATCATTTTCTCACTGACCAAGTAAGTTTGATGAAAGACGGGTAAGTACATGAGATCCTCAGACTCGCCCCAAGCTCTAATCAGCTGCATCGCCTTGACGCGGTTCTCGTGGTCCGTTTTGGGATCATCAATCAGTTTCATCATATCATCCAGCACCTTCTCGGAGGCAACCTCGGAGAACACCTTGTCGCAATTTGAAGTACAGGTCTCCAACAAATCGAGGCTCAAACGCTGGCTGACGGGACTCTTTCCCAACAACTTCTTCTTGATTGCCTTAACGACCTCCGTCCCGTTAAACTCCTCGCTGTTAATCAAGGCGCAAATGCGAAGATTGAGACCCCAGTTGGGTTCTTCCATTGTCTCCAAGGTAGCCTCGTCTACCATCTTAGATTCGGGAGTTGGGGCTTGGAGAATTTCCTTCATCTTTGAGCTTACGATTCGGCTCATTTGGGCTCCGCCAGTTTTTAATCTCTCGCCGAACGAGGATGAAGCCATTTTCAGTTTATCCAACTTGTCCATCTTTTTCCGTTTTTTTTTTTTTTTTTTACTTGGTTTTGAATCTCTTTATGATGCTGGGAAGAGCGGTGGTTGTCGGTGGCGGGGGAGGACGTGGGGGAAATTTTGAACAGGGACTCAGCTCAGGCCTCAGGGAGGGTGGGAATTGGGATATTTTTTTGGCCTGACGGGAAGGATTTGATACTATAGTTCCGCGTGTCTACATTTTGCAGGGGAATGGGACCCACCTCCATGGATTTTTAATATGGGTCGGGGACTGGGTTGGGACGTAAGTGTGTTTATATTGTAAATTATTGGAGATAATTTTATAAAAAACGTACTATAAAATTTTTTTTAGGCAAAATTATCCAAAACGTCCCTCATTTTTTTTTGTCCCTCACTTTTAAAAGTATAATTTTATATCCGTTACATATTCACATGGGTCAAATTTAGTCCCTAACTAGGTTTCCGATCATTTTTTTGCCAGAATTCATCACGTGCAAAGCACGTGATCATTTTTTAACGGTAAATTTGTCAAATTATATTTTACATAATCTGATCTACAGTCCTCCACATTTTATAAAACAAATTTTTTCGTCCCTCACATTTTATAAAATGATTTTTTTATCCCTCATATTTCACAAAATAAATTTTTCCATCCCTCACATTTCAAAAAATGAATATTTTCATCCCTCACTAATTATATATGTGAGGGAAACCCTAAAAAAAATGTGTGTGAATACATTTTGTTTAAACGCATGTATATGTCTATTTGATTTTGCTTAATAATACGAATAACATAAATATATGTATGTGTCTATTTGATTTTACTTAACAATACGATACCATATATTATACGTGATCATTTGATTTCATCTGGTATTAGCTAGTAAATAATCTTGCATTCATTGTCAAGTTGGCCAATAAAACTATTTTCGATCAAAATACAATAAGAATATGCAAATTAAGATTATATTGGTAAATATTAGTTATAATCATACAAAAAGAGAAGATAGCCCACAAGTTGGACCCAATTACATACATATGTTTATGCTATTATTATTAAGCAAAATCAAATAGACATATACATGTGTTTAAAAAAATGTATTCACACACATAATTAGTGAGAAATGAAAAATTCATTTTTTGAAATGTGAGAGATGGAGAAATTCATTTTGTGAAATGTGAGGGATGAAAAAAACCATTTTATAAAATGTGAGCGACGAAAAAATTAGTTTATAAAATATGGAGAACTATAGGTCAGATTATGTAAAATATAATTTGACAAATTTACCCTTCAAAAATGATCACGTGCCTTGCATATGATGGATTCCGACAAAAAAATGATCTGAAACCTAGTTAAGGACACAAATTGTCCGCTGTGAATATGTAAGGGATATAAAATTACACTTTTAAAAGTAAGGGACGAAAAAAGTTATTTTACAAAATGTAAGGGACGTTTTGGACGATTTTTCCCTTTTTTTGATGTGATGTATGTGAGATAAAAAGGTGATTGAAAAATGTGTTGATGATTATGTTTGTTTGGATAAGAGTTTATTTGGATGATTTATTTGAAATAATTACTGTAGCATTTTTTGTGATGTGACATATGTGAGATAAAAAAGTGATTGAAATTTGTGAAATATTTTTTTTTATTTCAAATCTTCCTAGTCCAAACACAAAGTTTACTATTGAAGATCACAAGTTAAAAGTGCTCAAAATTTATTGTATTTCTTTTTTCCCTTAAAAGCCCTTGGGAAAATTTTCAAATCAACAAAAAATAATCTAGGCAGTATTGCGATCCAATTTTTTATTTTGTTTTAACATTTTTTTTATATTGCAACACTTGATAAATAATATTTGAAATTAAATAAATCTATGCTTGATTCTGAGGTCGATCAGTGTATTGTTAAAAACTAAAATCACTCATATTGATTTTGAGGGATAAAATTTTCACATCAGTGATATATGGAGGACGATTGGTGCAGTTCTCTCTTTAAAAAAAAAAATCTATGCTTGATCTCTTATTTTTTTCTCTTTATTTTAAAAAAATACATTTTGCATATCGAGTTGCTTAAAAAAAGAAAAGAAAAGGATCACTAATGCTTAATTTTCAATTATTACACAGGATATGAGGTTTGATATTTGTCACAATAGTTCGCAGTCAAACAATTTAGGGTAGCTTGGGCACGCCATTGAATGAGAAACGAAACGTGATAGGACTTCTTAAGGCGCCTATACATTAATTTAATGACAATCTAGTGCTTACAGCGTGTCAAAGTCCAAATGCTATTTATGACTACTTGTTTCACAATTGTTTGGCAAGACCTTTGAGAAAGGCATTAGGAAATGCTTCACGATCCAAAACTCAAATGTAGTCGAGAGTTAATTATTTAAGCTGCGTGAATACGTAAGTGATTAATTTCCAAAAATTTGTTGGAATTTAGTTTCACGCAAATTGGGCAATCATAACATCTAGTAATTTTTTATTTGTTAGTCAATTAGTGTTTCCAAGTCATTTTGTTGCATACCTTGAAATGACTTGCTTCGTCCATTGCATTTTGAGGATTTTTTTTTGTCCCTAATTTTTAAAATGAAGCTAATAGTCCGCGACATTTTAAAAGCAAAGTAAATTAATCATTGAATAACAACCTGATATAGATTTAGAGGTAAAATTAAAACGCTATTTTAGTTTATTCTAAATCTAACTACACATTGTTATCGGATCAAGCCAAATTCAAATAATGTACTACTTGAGTAAAAATATTTGAACTCAATTGAATTTGAGTTTGAATTTAAGTTTGTCGAGTGCTTCAAAGTTGAGGTCAAACTTATTTTACTGAGCTTGTCAAGTTCTTCAAAATTGAATTCAAACTTATTTTACTTTATTCAACTTCAATCGAATTTTTAAGTTATATTTTGAAGTAAATTTATAAATTTGCAACAAAAGATTAAAAATTATTTTATAAACATACTACTTAATAATGTTTGATGAGAACATGAGTTTTAAATATTTCTTACTCGAATTTGAGTCAATTACCCTATCAAATCATTTGAATTCAACTCGTACCCGTCAAGGGACCCAAAAAAATTTATCTAGAGGTGAGTGACAAAATAGATAATTTTCCCTTTAGAATATCAATGAGAATTACGGTGCAATACATTTCACATCGACGATCTTGAAGTTACAATTTTTTGGGGTAAATTCCAGTTAGAGCTATTCATTGGGAATGTCTTGCTTGGATTGTCAATTTTTTTTTTCCAAAAATTTTACTTTTTCTATAAATATATTTTTTGATCACCCTTTTAGGCTTTTATTACCAATATATAATATTAAATAGTTAATATATATATATTTATTATTTATTTATTTTACAAAAACTCCGAAACATTGGATTCAAACAAGCGAGTTGGAACGAAATCATACTTATATGTTTTCTATAACTTCACATGGGAATAGGGCCAGCGGTAAAATTACCAGCGCTCGGCGTATTCTTTTGAGCCCACTCACTGGACTTCAATAGGGAATTTAATAAAGGAAAAAGGAAGAAATTGAGGGTTTAAGGGGACTGGAGAAAGGAGTAGAAAGTACCTCTAATCGGGTAAACATACACAAAACATTCACTCATTGATCTTATCTCATCTCAGTGATCCTGCGATGGTTTCCATCTCCACTTTGTTGCGCTATGTAGGGTGCAGGATGGAATACGCCGCTAGGGTTGGCATGAAGGTGATTTCCTTCTCCTTCTTCCCTTCATCTCTGTCATTTTTACTTGCATTTTTTTTTGTTAAACTGATTAGTTCTATCGCATCTAGTCAAAGTTTGTAAAATTTTTCAACTTGATGGTTGGATTGTCCAGATTCTTTGGTAGTATCGAGCTCTTTGATTAGCAGATGGGTTTCGTTAACTCAAAATGGGAGGTTAAAACTGGCCTGAAGCTTCTTAAAGATGCAATCTTTTTAGATTGTTCGGTATCTTTGTTGCATACCTTTAGTTTAGATTTCTTTTGCTTCTCAAAGTTCGTTTGGATTGGTTTGCTGGTGGTAGAATTTGTTGCTCGTACGGTTGCAACTTTAATACTTTTACATATTCCGGGATTTCCTTCAAAAAAAAAAAGGAAGGTTTTTTCCGTGCTAGTGATATTTTTTGTTCCATGTTTTTCTTAATGGGCTGCGAATTGGTTTCTTTATTGAACCAACTGTGATATAAGAAGGGGCAAACTCCAGGTCGATTACTTGCACACAAACAACAGATTAGCAGAACACAGCTGTGAGTACAAAGATCCCTTGGAGATGTTTGGGTCCATTAGAATTGATGAGAATAGTGAACTCTGCCTTAGTTATTTTTTTAACAGATATGATATTGCCACCATTCTTATTCAAAAGACTGAGCGTCTGTGGTAGTCATTCTTTGTTGCTGGTGGATCTTATCTGTAGGCAATGTCGTACCGAAATCTTACTATAATGGCCACCTTTGCCAACTGCTCATATATGATGTCTAGATAAGGTTTTGTATTTGTAGCAGAGATCTTTCTCCTGAAGAGCATTTTGACATTATTTTACTTGCTTCCTGCATTTGTTCCTTTCCCCATGTTATATGGTGTCAAAACCCTCAACTTTGATCTTTATGAAGCAGAGATTTTTTCCCAAAGAACATTTTGACATTATTTTACTTGCTTCCTGCATTTGCTTCTTTCCCCATGTTATGTGGTTTCAAAACCCTCAACCTTCTTTCTAGTGTACCTGTTTACTTTGATGATACTCATCCGTTAACCTATGGATGTTCTGATTTTCTATTTACCTGCATACGCTCAGATCAATGTCATGTTGCTTTTGAAGTATGTAAATATAATTTTGTGCATATCAAGGAAATTTTGTCCTTTTACAATTAGGCCAGTTCACTTATGTGAAATCAAAATCTTTACTCTATGAATAGCTGTTTTACTTGATTGCCAAAGGTTAAGTGATTATGCATGCAATTGATCCATTATTTGTAGTCAAATTTCATCTGAATACTTGTTTTAATTCTTTTTGAAAATGCTAAGATGCAATTTCTTTGAACTAAGGAAGAGATTTTAGCATGTTTTATAGGTTTCTTTATATCAGAATACTGAAAAAGAAGGTTTAAATTTTAATTGCATGTTCTTGAATCTGTCTGACTTGAAAAATGCTTTTCCTGCTT